ATATGCCTGTCATTTCTTGAGCAACATTCCGGTTTTATTGTTTGGATTTTTACTACGAGAGGAACATTACTAGAATGCATTGTGTTGTGCTAGCACGGGAATTAGTACGTTAGTAGAAGTGTGCATTTGGGTGTGTGTGAAAGAGAGCAAGAGAGAGAGCCTGTTTTCTGAGTGCTAAAGCTTATTATGTAACAGCAAAGTGAGGTCATTTAAGATAGGATCTTACAGAGGCAGGTGGATAACTGTCAGGCACTTAGAGAGAATAGGATGCATACTATAATATACTGGGATGGGATTGTAACAATTTTACTGCTCAGGAGCAAAATATATATATTTTTTTGCTTTTAGAGCAAAATATTTTCTCTGTTTCAACTTATTCTCAAATGTTTCTCCTGTTATTCACTTAAAATAAACAGACAAAATGAGGCAATTGTTGACTTGCAGTAAGAATAAAATGCAGTAAAATTAATATGGATTGCATAGTCCAGATTTGATTTTGAATTGAGTTTTTCCTTCTGTACTGATGACAATAAAATGTTATTATTCCTGGGCTGAACTGGGGATCGGGAGCCCTTCCTGGGCAGAACCGGGGATCGGGAGCCCTTCCTGGGCTGAACCGGGGATCGGGAGCCCTTCCTGGGCTGAACCGGGGATCGGGAGCCCTTCCTGGGCTGAACCGGGGATCGGGAGCCCTTCCTGGGCTGAACCGGGGATCGGGAGCCCTTCCTGGGCTGAACCGGGGATCGGGAGCCCTTCCTGGGCTGAACCGGGGTAAATATATCTTTGTATATGAACATTTTATATATTAGGTTAAAATTTCACTGCACAAAAAAAAAACAGCGTATAATTTTTTTTAGAAGTATCTTATGAAACTGCCTAGGATAATATAAAAAATTGCCAAAATAAGATGCATGTCTATCATTGGTCAAATTCATGTAAAAAAAAAAAAAAAAAGCATTTATGGCTTCTATTAAAAATCCATTTTGCTTGATGAAATGAGAAGTTCAATATTGTTTTCAGTCTTGCTCTGGGTGTGTGCTGTCCTCTTACCTTACATGTTCTCTTTAAGACAGTTTGTGCTTCTAGGAGGAAGTTTTAATTCATTTGGAACAGAATTCACACTTTGTCACACCGCATATGCCTATAACCTAGCTAACCTTCCACATCACAGTCGCCAACCAATCATTCTTCAGCAGCTGTGGAAAATATGCCTGTCATTTCTTGAGCAACATTCCGGTTTTATTGTTTGGATTTTTACTACGAGAGGAACATTACTAGAATGCATTGTGTTGTGCTAGCACGGGAATTAGTACGTTAGTAGAAGTGTGCATTTGGGTGTGTGTGAAAGAGAGCAAGAGAGAGAGCCTGTTTTCTGAGTGCTAAAGCTTATTATGTAACAGCAAAGTGAGGTCATTTAAGATAGGATCTTACAGAGGCAGGTGGATAACTGTCAGGCACTTAGAGAGAATAGGATGCATACTATAATATACTGGGATGGGATTGTAACAATTTTACTGCTCAGGAGCAAAATATATATATTTTTTTGCTTTTAGAGCAAAATATTTTCTCTGTTTCAACTTATTCTCAAATGTTTCTCCTGTTATTCACTTAAAATAAACAGACAAAATGAGGCAATTGTTGACTTGCAGTAAGAATAAAATGCAGTAAAATTAATATGGATTGCATAGTCCAGATTTGATTTTGAATTGAGTTTTTCCTTCTGTACTGATGACAATAAAATGTTATTATTCCTGGGCTGAACTGGGGATCGGGAGCCCTTCCTGGGCAGAACCGGGGATCGGGAGCCCTTCCTGGGCTGAACCGGGGACCGGGAGCCCTTCCTGGGCTGAACCGGGGATCGGGACTGGAGCGAGATCTGGGGCTGAAGCCGACACCCTTCTCCTCAAAATGTTATATTTAGATTTTACAGGGCAAATTTTCTATTGTAGTTGTTTGTTAAACACGTTAAAAATCTTCAGCTGTGGTTGCCAGAACTTTACTGTAAAAACTACAGTTGCAAATTTGCGCAAAAAAACCCCCAACTAATATACTGTATAGATGTCACGGTTCACACACACGAGGAACACGGGAACGAAGGAGCGAGGAGACACGGCCTAAAGTAACTCACAAAGGTTTATTTGAACAAAGGCTTGGGATCACAGGACTCGACACATCAGGATGACAGGATGACGTTTAACGACTGACAAAGGACAAGAACTAGAACACACTTTAAATACACAGGAACTGATGAGGGGAAGACAAGGGACACCTGGAACT